TGTGAGTGTCTTTTTTTTTTTATAATGTTTTTTATTTTTTTTTAAATATATGAACTTAAAAGAAAAAACAATAAAAAGTATGGGGTCGTAGATCTCCAAAATATCTACAAGACTATATTTTTTATTATTTATGTTGTTAAGTTTTTGCCCGCAAAAAAATCTCTGTGAAAAAAAAAGAAAAACCCACCCATTTCATATTGTGTTTTTTTGGTTATTTTCTTTCTTTTATGTTTTGCAAGGAATATGAGCAAGAACAATATACAGCAAGCCAAGTTGCGAAATCACACGGATGTCCAAGTAGTCATGTACAAGCCGAGAGCACAAATGCACCGAGATCTCATCCAGATAAGAGCAATACAATGAACTCACGAGCCAATGTCCAAGCCCTCAGGCCACACCAACACCGTATCCAATGTCGCTCCTAGTCTGTCTGGCGCCCAGCGCCCAGCCTACACTACTTGCCTATTCTACTCCACCAGCGTTCACACAACAGGCTCACTTCGACCTTGAAGACCAACTTACATGACGTCAACACCATAGCTGACCTCCCTCATGCACCAGGTATATATCTCGTCTCTCCTCATCACCCCTGACTTCCCACTGTGTGCATTCTCAACACCCAAAGACCACCATCGCCATCCAGACCTGCGCCCAGCAGCCCGGCTATGGCTGTCGTGCGCCCACTGCCCAGTACTGCACCTCACACCCCAACGCCCGTGCACACAAAAACAACAAGTGTAGTCCCAGGTAGAGTCGTCGTCAGCGAGAGCCCTATCAGGTTTAAGGCCGTTTAACATTGACTTCTACCAACCCTCAGGACCTCAACTATGGTCACCTAGGCAGCTAAAGGGTCTTCCATAGACCGCTTTCCAGCTAGCTCCTCTAAGGACTCAGACACATCTCATGATCAGAGCATCATGTGGTCTAGTTGTGCCTGCAGGGTGACTAAGGAGCCAGTAACCTCGGCCACCATTTGAGAAGGTGAGGGAATGTCTACCAACTCAACATGCGCAAAAGTGGTTACAACCTCTACGGGCCAGATGTGTATACCCTGGGAACTGCTCGCAATGCTTTTTCCAGGTTGAAGATGCCCCATCCTCTACTTGAGGCTGCACCCTCGTGGTAACCAGCTTGTTTTGACATTGCCTCTTGGTATGGTCGTATAAGCCACACCCTTGCAGAAGTCCCTCACAAATAGGTCTCGCACACACATCCCCTGCAAGATCCTGTCTAATCCGCTTAGACTAAGTAGGATCTTCACGGTTGCTTCACTGCAAGCCAGTCTCCTCAGCCTTGTTTGAAACGACCAACTCTCCTCCCTCGGAAGTATTATGGTCGTCTACCGCTCTGTTTAACCCCCAGGATCGTAGACTACCTCTACCTCTCCCCGATTCCTATCAGGAACTGTGTAGAGCAGGGAAAACCCTTTCTTCTCCTGATCCTGGGTTAACTTCTTCTTCCTCCTATCACCTTGACCCTGACTCGCGTTAACAAGCCAAACCTCTACATCCAAGGCTAGCTTCCTAAAAGAAGAGAAGATGTGCATCTGCAGTGGCCTCTCCGACTAACAACTTAGTCAAAGAGGTATGGGCCCTGTACTGCATCCGCCGAAACCGGCTATTCGGACTTAGAGCCTCAGCCCAAGAGTTTGTCTCCCGGTCATGAGCGCGCTGCTGCACTAACCCATCTAACCATCCTACCTTTCTGACATAAACTTCTCTCTGCAGACGCAGGTCACTGTACCTAGTGTGCGTTGGCACCCTTCCCAACCTGCTGTTGGGAACCTCGTCCTTCCTAAACCAGTAGGACACGGTCTGTGATAACGCAGTCTGTGGAACCCATTGGGTCCTACGGTCAATCTGCACTGCAGCCTGCTGTCCAGGTTGGGGGGGTATGGCGGCTGTTCTGTAGAAACAGCCGTCTGAAAGGAAGATAAAGAAGCATACTGAGCCTACATGTTTACAGCTAACTGTCCGCCTGATCGACTAGTACCAAGCCTAGCTAGAGAAAGACCTGACACCGGCGGCATTCTAATCGCCGACGATGAGACAAGTAAGGGTTGCCTTTCAGTCCGGACACTGAGCGGCGCAGTTAGGGATGTACCAATTTGTCCACTTCTACTGTCCACCCTCTGTATCTGAACCTGGCTGGAAAAGAGAGAAGTGTTCATACTTTCTCGCATGGACATGGACTCTTGCATACCTACCTCGCATGCCCGCAGATCCTGCTCTGCGTTACTGAGTCCATTTCCTTCCAATCCTTCTTACCTAACTTTGTCATTGTCTTCTCTGCTAACTAGTATGGCTCTATCTCTAATCCTTTGCTTCCTGTCCACTGCATCACTGATCCCGGCTTCTAGTTGGATAAGAATGTCTACTGCCTCCTGAATGTCCAGGTCGGCTAGTGTGAGCTGGAGCGGCTTGCTGAACTGCGAGATCGCCATTTGACTTGAGACTGTGTTGTCTGACTAACACCTACTTTGGCAGATAGTGCCTCAGCCTGCACGGCTTGTCTGATGGATCCTCATGCTGCTGCTGCTGCGGCAGCCTTTACTAACCATTGCTCCTCTGCTGCTGCTGCTGCCTTTCGGACCCCACATTACACACTGCTTTCAGTGGGTTCAACAGACCTTGTACACAGCAGCCTTTCTAAGGGCTCTGCACCATGTCAGCCTCTATTAGTCAACTCCCTCCTACTCATTGCTACACTCCCACATCAGCTATAGCAGACCGCTGTCTGCACTAGTGTCCTTGCTTGAATCTACCACAGCATAGGTTCTGACCGATTTGTACAATAAACATAATAAAATAATTATTCGGTCCATATTTCAGAATGCAGTTCAGGCGGTGTTAACCGAAAATAAACAGACTCATGCAAATTATCTAACTTCTACTCTGACTAGTTCTCCAACAGCAGCAGTACATAGAACTGGCAATGGTAGACTACTTCAGTTCTGGTCTAGAGCTGTCTGTCAGGTGTTAGCAGTCTGTCACATCTCAACTAATCGAAATAAAGTAAATCATGTGCGCAGATGCATGTGGAAATGGAAATAAAAATAATAATAATCTTTGAGCACCAACTGGAACCTTCCTTTCCCTGTATCCAACAAACCGATGAGCATCATCATGCAGCGGTGTCTAAGGTGTGCATTAGCGGCCCACCCCTGTGCCCAGGAACTTGCTTATAACCAGCACTGCCCTTTATTTATCCTCGCGTGCAACGAGTCTTACGTCTGACTGATCTGGCTGATCAAGAGGCAGTTTAAGGACAGCCCCCAGGGTCCTCGGGAATGATTTAACGTCGCAGACAGGACGACGATCACAGCCAGTGGACAGATCAGATCCGCGCCAGAAATATTTATAGACGGTCTGGTAAGCGTCTGCAAAGGACTCGTCAGTCCACGTTTCCTCTATTAGCGCAGCAAAGAGCCTTCAATGGACAAAGCAGCATGGCCTGCGTGTACTACTCCCATGGGTTGGCATGGTGACCGTGACCCGTGCTTCGACCAGGGCCCTTCAGAGGCACCGCCCTCTCCTGCCAGATGTGTCACCGGGAAGAATGTCGTCTCTCAAGGTAGAGCGCTCACAACTCCTTACACAAAAGAGAGGACACTCAAGGTTGGACTCACTTCCTCACGGTAAGAAGAGATTGAGAGGGAAGATAAGATAAGGGAACAACGTACCTGGAGATAGCTGCCCCCAACCACATATTTCTCACCAATTGAGCCGGCATGCATTTTGAT